CATAGCCAAAATCAAACAAAACAGCCATTCGCTTTTGCGCTGTTGGTGCGGTTAGTTGCGTAATCGTGAAAGTTTTGTGATTGTGATTTTAGTTGGATTTTCTTTCAAAAAACGGTAAGTAATGTTATTTATCTTTACTACGTAATGTTTTTGAATGATCTAAGTTACAACAACAGTAACTTTTTATGTTTCAATTGATAAAAAAGTAGAAACAATAAACCTCTACGCGAACAATTCCTAACGGTCAAGATTTCTAATAAGATAATAATAGTATATTTCTTATTCGAATACCATACTAAATACTTTTACTTATAGGAAAAATCAAGTAGAATTTATATATACTAGTAGTTTTTGGTAATATTTTATATTTTTGTTGTTTTATTCGAAAAATTCGCGAAAGGTCTAATTCAACATTCACACATACGCAATGACTTTGTATGAGTGCGTGCGTTCAAAACTGGCTGTTCGCGCCACTCGCGCGCGACGATTGATTCCCTGATTCGCTTTCTCTCTCTCATTCATTGATTCGGCGCGAGCGCTGTATCGCGTCAGTCGCAACCCCGGAAGGGAGTCACGCGCCGCCCTCGCTCGAGAAAAGGTGTAAGAAAGCGCGTCCGCGACCTTCAGCTCATCGGCTCGCATTAATTATGTATATATTGCCGGCCGGTATCTAATATATCTAAGTGATAATCATTACGAACAATTAAACATTAAAGTGAAAGTGACAGTGTATGATATAAGACTTTAGTTGCACGTGTATACATTCAACGGCATAACCAGCTCAGGAGCGTGCCAGCCACCCAGCACCATTCATTTATCATCCGCCCATCTGCATTCAAAGTAAGTGCACACCCTTACATTTCCTCTCCAATTTCGTTCAACCCGCACTTCAGCTCACCGTCGATGTGAGGCTTTCCCTCACATAATTCTGGTCCTTCGAGCCTCTGAAACAGCGACCCCTGCTCATTTTATGGTCCTTCGATTATAAGAAATAAGCCCCTATGGATAAACAGTGTCCTAAGACCGGGAAATAAACCCAACCACACCCATAAAGTTACCCACATTTCTCTCAACAAAATATTAAAATCTTTTAAATAGATAAAAACTTCTTAAGTATGTAATCATATAATCTCAGCCCATATATTAAAATTCATTAATACATATTTAACATTAACTTTTATTAAATAGTTCACATCTCCATACATTGTTTCTCTTTAAGTAGGTACTAAGCTAACGCTTTCGAATATAATATTATATTGAGTCACAAGTGTGCAAAATTGTTACAAAATAACGTCTCGTATTTCAACAAAAGTGTTTGATTGCATCATTTTTAAACATATAATATAATTGAAAGTTCATGAAAAAGTGTTAACAATCGGCTCAACACTGCCCTTTATTGTACGATCAGCTGAGTCGTAGGTAGGTCAAGGACTCGCCGTCCCGTCTCGATCATTTGTAGAAAAGAAGCAAGCGTTAAAATATTTTGTTGTTTAATTTAATAGGTAATAAGTAAATAGTATTAATATTATTAATTATTTGCACTTACTCGTGTTATTTCTTTCTCAATAGGCATTATTATTAATTTCGTATATTAGTCTTTTATTATTATTTTCGTTCTGGTGACTAATACAAGGCGATTGAATTGTAATATTTTCGTTGCAAAAATTATATTGCCTGTTTATTCTACTGTTAGTGTTAACTTTTAAAATACTTTTACATAATTTAAGTTGTAGGTATATTCTGCTCACTTTACATTCTCTGCTCCGCGCTTATCTTAAGTTCTGCTCAGTAACATATTATAACATTTACAACACACTCGCATTTATTTATTTTTTAACCGACTTCCAAAAAAGGAGGAGGCTCACAATTCGATTATATTTTTTTTTCTCTCATTCTTCCTTTATAATAATTTACATACAATGCCGTCCAAGTCTAAAGCGGCCATTTTTCGTGAGGCGATAAAGGCAATTAACCAGCTGAAGGAAATTGCCTTGGCGGTAATAGCTAAGGATACGAAAAAGTATACTATAACGGACTTTACTGCTAGGTACGCCAAGCTAGAGGAACACAAGCACAAATTGGAGAACGTCTTCTACGAGATCCTGGATGATGAGGACCTCACCGATGAGGTCGAGGCCACCTATACAAAGAATTATGAGAAGGCGATTTCAGATTACAATGACATCTTAGTTGCGTTTGAAAAATTAAGTGTGGCTTCAGCTCTTCCGGAGACTGCTCACCCGTCCACGTCAGCCACACCTGCTGACGTTCTGCCCAAAATTGCTCTGCCGAAGTTCAGCTCTAAAATTGAAGACTGGCCTTCCTTCATAGCCATCTTTAGAAGTCTTACCGATGACATGACCACCATTTCGGATTCTGTGAAGCTTCATTACCTGCTCTCGTGCCTATCAGGCGAGGCACGCAGTATGGTATCTCATTTTCAGCTCACCAATGAGAATTTCGCCGTGGCCACGGATATTCTGACCAGACGATATGAAAACCGTCGCGTCTTGATCGACCGGTTTGTGGACATTATACTAGAGCAACCACACATCCATACGCGCTCTGATATCCGCACACTCTTCTTGACTCCGCTCATTTCTGCGCAATGCGCCCTCAACAATCTCGATCTGCCCATGAAGGATAGTGACTACGTTTTCGTATCGATAGTAGTACAATAGCTTAAGGGTGAACTTCGCACCCTCTTTGAGCGTAAATATGGATCACATGAGAATCTGCCAACTCTCAAGAATTTAATCACCTTCTTGGAAGAGCACGCGCGTTGTGTGGAGACCGAGTGGTCCAGCCCACACTCTTTACAAGCCAGTCGGCACTCCCCACAGACCAACCAATACCGCAGGCAGTCCTCCTCTTCTTCTCCACAGGTTTCGCCTCGTCAACCCGCTCATCATCAATTTCGGCCCATTCACCCGACTACAAGTCGGCACGACTATAAAACCCCGCAGCCGGCTCCGCTCAGGCCGGTATACTCGGCTCAACCATCAGCTCCTGCCGCTCCCATTGCGGATAATATGCCCTGCCCATTCTGCAGACATAGAGGACACAAGCTCATCGCCTGCCCGAGGTACAATGACCAACCGATCCAGGGCCGATGGGACTTCATCAACGGTCGCAACCGATGCCGACGCTGTTTAGGCCCTCATTATGAGAATGAGTGCAAGTCCACGAAGGCTTGCAAAGAGTGTGGAAATAGAAAACACCACACATCCTTGCATCGGCCCAATGTTCCTTCTCCAACTCACTCGAATGCTCATCTTCTACCCTCGCATTTGAGAGAGCAACCCAGACAGCGCTCAGCTCAAGAGCCCCAACATTTTTCAGCACACGCCGCACATGTCAACCCCAGGCCACACAACAATGGACCAAGTCATTCGCGCTCTCCTAGTAGGTCTCGTGTAGGTGGTCAACAATGACTATCTACAATAAACGAACACTACGAACCAGAAACTAATCAGCACACTCACTCAAACTCAGCTCACACACAGACATCACAAGCTTACTCTGCGATATCAGCTCCAACTATGAATAGTTATTTTTGCAATTCTGCTCAACGTGAAGAGCACGTTACCAATTTACCAATTTTATTGCCCACCGTCTCGCTAAAAATAGCAGACGTACATGGCCAGTTTCACACAGCTCGAGCATTGTTAGATTGTGGTAGCATGATAACACTTATAACTCAGCGCATGGCTCGAATTTTGAATTTACCGCTAAATCAAACATCTCTAAAAATCGCAGGAGTGGGCAACCACCACACACAGGACTCAAAGTCATCAATCACAGTAGTGAGTAGACCAACACACCATGACACACCTACGATTACGGCTACAGCGCACATTTTAAAAAATGTTACAGGTTATTTGCCATTACAAAAAGTTCCGCGCATAGCAGATGCAGAGCCTCCGATTCCCTTGGCAGATCAAGATTACCATACACCAGCTCCGATCGATTTCTTATTGGGTTCCGACGTTCTCGGCCAAGTTCTGGACGGGACTAAGGTTTCTTTAGGCCGGGGGAAGCCTATAGCCTTCGGCACGATTTTCGATTATGCATTGATAGGACCTATTGAGGATTTATATGCAAAGTCTGCGAACCAGCCCATTTCAGCTCACGTTATCAGCTCACACCCAGAATCCGACGTAACTACACGCGAAATTTGCAAGCGCCTTGAGAGGTTTTGGGAGTCAGAAGAACCCCAACCTCATATAGCGACCAGTCCTTTGGAGGAGCAATGCGAAGAAATTTACCGCACCACAACAACTCGAGAACCATCAGGCAAATATATGGTAACATTGCCTTTTCTAACAAATGCACCGACCTTAGGCAACACTTATGCTATTGCGTTACGTAGATTTCTCAATCTCGAAAAGAAGCTTCAAGCAAATCCGCCCCTCCGCTCTCAATATGTTGACTTTATGAATGAGTATCTCAACTTGGGACACATGTCACCTTGTTACCCAAGTACCTTTGCAGGTAGGCCGCACTGCTATATTCCGCATCATGGCATCTTTAAGACGGGATCAAATAAGCTACGCACTGTATTTGATGGTAGCAGTAAAAGCTCAAATGGCGTAAGTTTAAATGATTGCTTGCACACAGGTCCAGCTCTCCAACAGGATATTGTCGATATTATTATGTCATTTAGAACACACCCTGTAGTCTTCAGTACTGACATCAGAAAGATGTTCAGAAACATACTCATTCATCCAGACCAAAGACAGTATCAACTTATTCTCTGGCGGTCGTCACCTGACCAGCCTCTGCTCACATATGCGCTAAATACAGTCACGTATGGTTTACGGTCCAGCCCGTACCATGCCATCCGCACACTGCTACAATTAGCTGATGACGAAGGTAATCGTTACCCACAAGCTACTCAGATCCTACGCAATTCTATCTTCGTTGACGATATACTCTGTGGCCATGACTCTGTGGAGTCTGCTCAGGTACTACAAACCAAGTTAATTAATTTGCTTGGCATGAGTGGCTTTCAGCTCAGTAAATGGACTTCAAACTGTCCCCAGCTCCTGGAACGGTTTCCAGAGGACCAATGTGACATGCCTAAGGACTTTGACATCAGCCCAGAATCGAACACCATTAAAGTGCTTGAGATACAATGGATTCCTCAATCGGATGAGTTCACTTATCGCATCTCTCTCCCTCCAATAACCCAAATCACAAAGCGCTCTATTCTCAGCACAGTAGCATCACTCTATGACCCCAACGGTTGGGTCACACCGGTCATTTTCCGCGCAAAGCTCCTTTTACAGAAGTTATGGATTCTGAAACTGGGATGGGACGAACCCCCTGGCAATGAAGTTTACACAGAGTGGCAGCACATTTCACAAGATCTTCCTCAACTCTCGAATCTCCGCTTACCTCGTCACATTTGCAAATATAAGCCGACATCCACTTACTCACTCCACGGATTCGCGGACGCATCAGAAGCTGGATTTGCGTCTGTCATTTATCTTCATGAGCTCAATGCCAATTGACAGGTCAATGTACACCTGGTCATTGCCAAGTCAAAGGTCGCGCCTATTAAGAATCGCCTCTCAATTCCTAAACTGGAACTATCAGCTGCAGCTCTTTTATCACAACTCATGACTCGTGTGTCCACTAAATTATCAGCTCATATTGCGATTGACCAGCATATCTGTTGGTCGGATAGCACAATAGTTATAGCTTGGCTTAACACGCCCCCTCATCGGCTCCAGACATTCGAGGCCAATCGAGTGTCAAAAATAACGTCTAGTCCGACTAGCACTATATGGAGACATGTTCCCACGAATCTCAACCCTGCAGACTGTGCAAGCAGGGGCATGTCAGCACAATCTCTATCAGCTCATGATCTCTGGTGGTCTCCCAGTTGGCTCAAAGAGCCCCCTAGCACCTGGCCCAAGATGCCAGTTGCTTTAGGCCATCATGCTTTACCAGGCCTTAAACCGAAAAAGGTGCCAGCGCATATAGCGATTCCGGATGTTGACCATGATCTGCTCACTCGTTTCAGCTCACTTGACAAGCTCGTCGGGGTGACGGCTTGTATCAGGCGTTTCATTTTCAATTGCAAGCGCGGTCCAGAGGCACGACGCGCTGGTCCGTTGACAGTTAGTGAACGTAGGGACGCTCTGTTATTTTGGGTCCGCTCCGTTCAACGAAATGAGTTCGCAGAGCACTTTCACCGTCTTCAAACAGATAAACTTTTTACCGCTCGACTGCAGCGTCTTTCGCCATTTATGAAGGACGGTCTCTTGAGAGTCGGTGGTCGTCTCTCTCATGCTTCGATTAGGTACGATGCTCAACATCCACTCATTCTGCCCAGCTCCAGCCCACTCGTAGACCTCATCATTGACCACTATCACAAAATATACTGCCATCCTGGCTCAGACACTACACGCCATTCTACGCCAGCAATTCTGGATACTATCCGCTCGCCGCGTGATCAGGGTGTTTAAATGTATAAGATGTTTCCGATGTCGCGCTCAACCCGAAGCCCCGTTAATGGGTGACCTTCCCGCGGACAGGGTTAACCCGCAACCTGTATTTAGCCAAGTCACGACTGACTTTGCCGGCCCGTTTCTCATTAAATCTAGCACATTACGGAACGCTAAGCTCTTAAAAGCGTACTTTTGTATATTCGTGTGTCTCTCAACGAAGGCGGTTCATTTAGAGGCCGTCTCTGCTCTTACCACAGAGGCCTTTCTCGCAGCGTTACAACGATTTATCTCACGGCGCGGTACGCCGGTACTAATTAGATCAGATTGCGGCACCAATTATGTAGGCTCCAGAAATCACCTCATAGAAGTTAAAAATTTTCTCACTGCTAATAATGATGCAATCACACACAAACTAGCCAACCAGCACGTAACCTGATTGTTGAACCCCCCAAAGGGGCCCTGGTTTGGCGCGTTACATGGAATTAACATTAAATCTACGAAACAATTACTTTATCGGGTAATTAGTGAACAACACCTTACATTTGAAGCATTTTCCACACATCTGACACGGATTGAGGCTGTACTTAACTCCAGACCTCTCTGCCCACTCTCATCCGACCCGTCGGACCTTCAGCCCTTAACCGCTGGCCATTTTATTATAGGCCGTCCGCTCACAGCTCTGCCCGCGCCGTCCTTTGATGACAGGCCATTATCTGCTCTTAAAAGCTTTCAACTCATACAAGCTCTTTCTCAACGCTTTTGGACACTGTGGACCAGATCCTACCTCCATACCCTACAGACCCGCTCCAAATGGCTTTCCCCTTCCTCACCTCCTCAAGTTGGCGAACTTGTACTCATCAAAGAAGATAACCTGCCCCCGCTCCAATGGAAACTGGGAAGAATTACCCGCACAATACCTGGGAAGGATGGAGTGATCCGAGTTGTGGATCTGGACACGGCCTACGGACACCTGCGCAGACCTGTGCTCAAGATAGCAAGGCTGCCGTTGGATTCAGCCCAGGAAGAGGTGCTCTCTCGGGCCCCCCAGGATGTTCGCGCCACTCGCGCGCGATGATTGATTCCCTGATTCGCTTTCTCTCTCTCATTCATTGATTCGGCGCGAGCGCTGTATCGCGTCAGTCGCAACCCCGGAAGGGAGTCACGCGCCGCCCTCGCTCGAGAAAAGGTGTAAGAAAGCGCGTCCGCGACCTTCAGCTCATCGGCTCGCATTAATTATGTATATATTGCCGGCCGGTATCTAATATATCTAAGTGATAATCATTACGAACAATTAAACATTAAAGTGAAAGTGACAGTGTATGATATAAGACTTTAGTTGCACGTGTATACATTCAACGGCATAACCAGCTCAGGAGCGTGCCAGCCAACCAGCACCATTCATTTATCATCCGCCCATCTGCATTCAAAGTATAACCTGTCGGAAATATCTGCGAACCTCGCTGGAATGCGCTTCCCCTCGCGCTTCCCCGCACCTCCGCCCGTTATCGTCTATCCAGTACCGTTGCCATCTCTCCATATTGCATGACGTCATCAAGCCAGGTTCGCAGATATTTCCGCCCGTTATCGTCTATCCAGTACCGTTGCCATCTCTCCATATTGCATTACGTCATCAAGCCAGGTTCGCAGATATTTCCGACAGGTTATAAGTGCACACCCTTACATTTCCTCTCCAATTTCGTTCAACCCGCACTTCAGCTCACCGTCGATGTGAGGCTTTCCCTCACACTGGCTGTCCAGTACTTTATTGATAAAGGCTGTTCCTTTTTTGTTACCTTCATAATTTTTTGATGATATAAAGGAATGAAGAAAAAGTATGTTTTGTTAGTTTATTTTTATTTTACATCATTTTTTTTAAGTATATAAAGCAAGCCGTGGTAGCTCAGATGATTAACGCTCGCTGTAAGTTTCACAGTACGCAAGCAACCCCGGTTCGATCCCCGCCGGCACCAATGAAATTGTTAATTGCAATTATAAGTGCTAATTTACCACGTGCTCGGCGGTGAAGGAAAACATCGTGAGGAAACCTGCATGTCTCCGACAACTTTGCAGCGGGCGGACCGGTGTCATGTTTTTAAATAAATCTATTCAAATTATCATATACCATAAATAGTCTTAAAGTTGCTATCATTAGTGCAAAAATCCTGTCGCAAACCATATTTTGGTGACTTGCACGCGAGCGAACGACGTGTACCAGCGAGAGAGGGGGCCCCTTCTTCACCCCCGCGAGAAAGGTACAATTGCATTTTTATCTCTCTCCACTTCTTGCTACGATTGAACTACGAGCACGCCCACTTGCTACGAGAAAACTACGTAATACGTAGCACTTAAACATTGCTTGCCGCGCTTGCCGTGCTGTGTGATTCATCGGGCTGTTTGGTGAGATCTATTCTACTATTGTCACTTATAATAACTGCTGCTTTACGAGTACAATAATATCATGGAGCCACATAGTTCATTGGACAAAACAAACTCCGCGCCTAATTTAATTATCGTTGATGACGATACCCCCGAAAATACTTACGGGTTTATTACATCAAGGGCAAAACGGCAAAGGATGGACGACGAGAAAAACAGAGGTGATTATAGTGAATTTCGACACGAAATGCATGAATTATTTGAAAGTTGGACGCTTAGGCAAGACAGCCAAATGCGAAAACAGGAGGCTCAAATTACAAAATTATTCCCGATATTAAAAGGAATTCAGGAAGCTAATAGTAATATTGAAGCCACCATCACATTTCTGGCAGAGCAGAACGCCGAGCTAAAGAAGAATGCCGAGCGTTTGGAAGGGGAGATTAAGAAAAGGGATGAATATGTTGCCATACTTGAGGACCGCCTAGAAGACACCCTGAGAAATAGCCGTAAAACTACTATAGAGATTAAAAATGTAGTTTTTGATACTAATGGGTCAAAAGACGGTCTGGTTAGCAGGATCGAAAACCTTTCTAAAACCATAAACGTGACGTTATTGATAGGGGTAATATTAGAGACATCTATAAATCAAAATGCACAACGGAGAAAAAATCTGTGGTTGTTGAATTTAGCTCGACTCTTTTAAAGGAAGACATTCTTAAAGGGGCTAAGTCATTTAACAAACGGAACCAAAGTGACAAATTATGCGCCAAGCACTTGGGGAACAAAAGAAATCCCGACAGTCCCATATTTATCGCAGAGTATCTTACACCGAAGGCATCGAGATTATTCTTTTTGGCGAGAGACTTGAGAAGGTTCATGAATTACAAATACTGTTGGACATCCTACGGTCGTGTATACGTGAGGAACGACGACAACTCTCCTATCATACATATTACGAACTAGCTGTGCCCGCGGCGTAGCTCGCGTATACAGGTTTTACATAAACAATTTGTCGTTTAGGTAAGAGAATATTAAACGATTTATTTCATTACTGTATCAATAAGTGGTAACTAAATAAATCATTATCATCAAAGTTCTAAGTCGTTTATGATAGAGCTTCTGTGTAAACGACGTGAGAAGTAGGCTTAGCCGGGGTGTACACTAAAAGGTTACGGGGCCTACTAACGCGGGAAAAAGCAACATAGAGTTGGCCATGTGCAAAACAGTCAGTACTGAGGTACACTCCTACAACGCGTAAAGTTTGACCTTGCGCTTTATTTACGGTCATCGAATAACACACGCTCACTGTAACTGGGAACTGAACGCGCTTAAAACTGAAAGGAAAGTTACTTCTTAATAGAGGGTTTTTGGGCAGTGCTGCCAGATAAAAAAAAAACTAATTCAGCTCTAGGACAACAAAAAAAGCGCTAGATTTCATGAAAACAGCGCTTTAAAAAAGCCCTAGATTTCGCGCTAAATTAACTACAAACAAAGTTTGTGTTTTTTTTATATAATCATAATAAAGAAAACAACATTAAGTTTTTTTTCTGGCAATATTTTTTTGATGTATCAATACTTCGCAGGACATCGACTTATAATTATGGCAATTGCTGTCAACAGTAGTTAGTACTGTACGAACAATAAAAATGTCATTAATTGTTTTAAAGTGCAATGTATTTCGC